GTTTGCGTAAAGAATGTCTAAAACTGAAAAAGCATGTAACGCTCTTCTTTTCTTTTCAGTTAAATCAGTTACAGATAAACTCACTGACAAATGCGCACGAATATGTATATATACTCAAATATAAATATAAAAAGTTCGGTAAGGAAATGAATGTTTGAAAATAAAGTTCCAGTTAACATAACATAAAAAATGACTGGATCTGAACCACACACAAACACACAGAAACACATCAACCACAATAACAAAGAGGTTTTATTCAAAATATTGACAGTAAGAGAAGGAGAAGAGAGGAAGGAGAAACCGACAAACAGCAGCTATCTATCAAAATCCTTATCAATAGGGCAACAAAGGGTCCGCCAGTTGGTAGGTCTTTTTAACCTGCAATCCCCCTAGGTTACAGTAATTAATTTTAGAAGGATGAAAAAACAATAACGAATAAGAAGGTAAAACAGAAAAAAAAAAAAGAAAAAAAAAAAGACGGGAAAAAACCTGCTATCTTTTATTTTTATCTGACTACTACTACATCGATTGTTGGTGATGATGTTGATGATAATCTCAGATAATCTATTTTAAATGACACAAGAGAGTTTTGTTTTTTCCCCGTTGTTTTTTTTACCTATCCCTTCATCATCCTTACCCCTCCCCACCACCCTCTTCCTTCCTCTTTCCTTCACCCACCCTACTCCTGTCTCCACTGATTGGTTGTTCCTAAACTGTTACAAATGTTTTTCATATATAACCAACATGAAAATCATCTAGAAACCATGCAAACTTTCATTCCTTTTCTTTTCTCAGATTATCTGTAATCTTCTCAGCGCAGCAAAGCTAACATGTATAAGGTAAATTAAGAGTCATTTTATCGGCTATTATACAGGCTTATATGTACCTAAAAAGGAAAGAAACTGTCAAACGATATGGAAAACAAGATATTTCAACTTGAACTGCAAAAACGCATTAAAGTAAACAACAAATCTGGCAAGTCAAAAACTTTCATCGACGGAAAATTATTACTCATTAAATTTAAATTCTGGGAAACCATTTACTATCTTTCCTGACGCTACCTAAAACAAACATTCATTTTAACAAAGTTAAAAACCCCAAAATCACTTTTTATTTTCTGTAGATCAGTCACATTTTCAGGCATAACAAAATCTATAAATGGTTTGAGCTGCAGCATCAAAGCAATTTCGAATCGTTGTTGACTATCCTTTGTCCTTTCTACTACTCAGCCTCACCAAAATCATTGCACTCGTTACTGTCATC